GGGGGGTGATGTCCACGGGGCGGCCCTCGTAGTGCAGGGACTCCTCGGAGTGGTGGCCATCCTCGTCCCAGCCCTCGGTCACCCGCAGCTTCACCCCGGGCCACTGGTTCATCACCGAGATCGCCAGGGCGTTCAGCTTGTCCTTGCAGCGCTGCGGGGATACGAGCACACGGGGAAGGGCGCATTGCGGGGGGGCACTGCTGCAGCCAGGAGCAGAGCCCCCCTTCACAATCCATCCCCCCCAGGGCCGCATCCTGCCCTCTCTCCCCAGCCAAACCCGCGGTAGTCGTGTCCCCGTCCCCCCGTCCCCCCCCCGCCAAAGCTGGGCCGAGCCAGGTCTGAGCATCTTCTCCCCCGCTGCCAGGGAGGGACGGGGAGGCAGGTGAGGAGGAGGATGAAAGTTGGGGACACGGGAGGAAGAGGGGGTGAAACGCCACGAAGACCCACCGGGACGGAGCCGCCCTCTCTCCCGGCACCTGCCGCAGGGGCAGGGGGACCCCCCCCGCCCCACCACCGGCGCTGTCGTGCGGGGGTGTCGGGGGTGCGAGTGTGTCGGTTCAAAGCCACCTGCACGGAGCAAATTCCTGCCGCTAAGTGCCCTGTCCCCTTTCCCGAGAGCGAAGTTTCTGCCGAGAACAAACACTCGCCATGTATCTCGGAGTCACGGATTCCCCCCCGGAATGTCTCTACGGGTCTTTTCAGCTTAATTCTGTGTTGAAAGGGGTCTCAATACATGTTAACAGCCTTTATGTGCTGGAGGGAGGGGGGGGTTGTTTTTTTTTTTCTCTCCCTTCGCCCATCACTCATTAGAGCCCTCAAAGCAGCATGGGCTGGGAGCATTCACTCCGCTTCAAACATACATCGGCGCTCGCCTACAAAGCCGAGCAAATCCATACAATAATATAGCTCTTAGTGGGAAGATGAAAAGCAAGGGAGGGCCAAGGAGGGAAGTTAAGCGAAGCAGGGATGCTATGCAAGCTAGGAGACCCTTTGTGTGGAGTGAAACGTTTCCAACTCCGTGGAGAAGCACTACAGGGTTTTCCATCGCCCCTCCAGAGCCACCGGCCTTCCCTGGGGCCGAACAGGGCCCTGCAGGGGACCGAGGGGGACCGAGCGAATGAGGGGGGCGGGATGGGCGGGGGGAAGGGGGCGGGATGGGGGGCGGTGGAGGGGGGTGAGCTCTAAATGAAACCCTGAAAGTTTGGGGGGGGATTCCTACCTTAGCCAAGGGGGGGGATAGGCATGCCAGCGGCAGGGGAAAAGGACTCACAGCCCCCCAGAAATAGGAAATCAGCACCGAAAGCATTGAAAAGCGCTTGACTAAAGGTACAGAGTTGGAAACACACACGTTGCCAAGTTTTTCCCCCCCTTTTTAGAGGAAAATAACTCGTGGATATACACGATGTGGCTCGTTTGATGCAAATATCGATGTGGATTAAAACCACGGTGGGATGCAGTAAAGTGCTCTTCCCTCACTTTTGCTGGCCTGATTGGGATGCTTGGCCTTCTGCAGGACCGTTCTTCCCAGTGTGCTCCCAGCACGCCCAGTAACAGACCGCAAAGGCCCCCTTCACAGCTCCCAGAAAGGCAAAGCCCCTCCATTATCCCGACGACGCTACTTATAGGGACGTGACAAGGTTGCTCAACGAGAAAGTTCCCGTGTGTCTATCAACAGCCATAAAAAGCAATTCCAGCAATACACAGGTCCCCGAGAGCTATAAAACGCAATCGTGAGCTCACTTTGGACTCTTTGGCCTACCGTCTCATGGAAAGAGCCGGGTGTTTGGGTTTCAGCACCGTTCCCGGCAGCAAAGCGCAGCAGCACAAGGAAGTTGAGCTTGGTTTATTTTTTCTCCTCTCTCCCTCGCACACCTGAGAGGATGGATACGCTCCTCCACTGATTTACAGGGGGAAGGGGGCGAAGGATCAAACGTCTCAGCTACTGATAAGGCGACAGCCCTGCGCGACACGAAGCCGCCCCCTGCGTGCGAAGGGGCTGTAGCGTCCCCCGCCGCTGCTCGCAGCGGGCGCGGAGGGGCGGGGGCGGGCAGGGGTGCGGGCAGCGGGGCGGGCAGCGCCCAGGGGCTCCTGCCGCTGCGGCCCTGCCAGCACCAGCTCCCGGCTCCAGGCGAAATAAAGAAGAAGAAAACACGTCCTAAAGGACTTTCCTCCCTTTTATACCGCCTGAGCTGGATTGTCAGAGTCAAAAGCCGTGAAGCCCAGACTATTTATTAATTCATTGGGTCGTGTGCCACAAATCAAGCCCAATTCTGTTCAGCCACCGTGAAGCTCAGCAGGGCTGCCTCCACTAACGCTTTGTGTGGAGGCAAAGTTGTTCAACAAGCCCTCTCCTGCCAGCTCCTAATCTCTTCACAAATGAATTGCTTGAAGGAAACACTTAACAGGTACCTGTCAGTGTAAACAACCTGGTGGGCTTCCTAAATGCCAAGTTGATCTCTAAATTCCTCACATCACGCACCGGTTGTGTGCCTGCATTACACGAGATTGCTATTTTATTTCGTACAAATTCCAGCTTTATCATACTGACCTGGCCTCCTTATCTCTCCCCCGGATCCAGCCAATGGCTGGGGTGGGGGGGAGGGAGGGGAGGAAGGGGGGAGCCTTCAGCAAACTGCTGTTGTCACCTGCAAAGTTGAGAACCTGACTTACCTACCTCTGTTTGCGTTTCCCCCCCACCTTCTGGAGTTAATATTAACTAGCGGCTAATGCATTCGGCAACTATTCCGCAAGTTTAACGATTCCATTCAGGGAAGATCTCTCCATGGTTGAAGGGCTCGCGAAGCAGGCGTTTAAAGGCTGGGATTTAACGAGAGGTTGCCGGCCGAGGGAGAGAGGGAAGGAGAGAAAAGCAAGGCAGGGAGGCCGGCGGCAGGACGGCACCTCGGGGCGCTGCGGACCCGGCCGTGCCCGGGGGAGGGTGGGCAAGGGCAGCCCCTC